CCTGCTATTGCTGTATCATTAAGTAGCTGCTCTCATACTTTCTTCTCCCAAATGCTCCATTTCTAAAAAAGCACTAAGAAAGGTTTACATTTCACACGCAGAGATAAACAGAATTCTCTTTCCAGTAGCTCTTGGGATGGGCAAACTCATACAACTGAGATGAAGAGCTATATTTTTTCCCCCTTATCTGTAAAATTAATGCAGAGATGGATTACAGCTTTGGCTCCTGGGCAGCTGACTGCATTCTGCTTTGCCTTGCCAGACTGCTGCAGCATGAGGAATAAGTTGGAGGAGAGCAATAAGACACAAAGCTTGCTCTTGTCCTGAACTCACCCAGGAAGGACCCCACACAGGGCATGTCTACATGTTCATTAATGCACAGTAGTTATTGTGCAGTAGCCCCAGCATATGGGGTTTTTTTGTGACACTTACTGCACAGTAGCCTAATACTACTGTGCAGTAGTGTATTAGCATGGTTTTTGCCCAGCACGCTACCACACAGTGTTATTAGAATAAGTGCAAAGAAAGTATAACTTCCACTAAGCATTCTGTAGCACTCTATGCTTTCCTAGGGCTTTCTGGGGCCCAGCAGGCAAACTTACCCAGTACCACCCTGTTTAAAACCCATCCCTACCCATTGACTGGGGAGGAAAGGGACAAGCTTCTGCCAAGCTCCCAGGGCAGCTCCCCTAATGAAAAAAGGCACAAAGAGGCCGGAAGAGATCGATATGTCCAACATGGTTTTTGATTCACTCAACTCATCATGATTCACTCAACTCATCATTCACTCAACTCATCATGGTGGTTTACAGCCACCATGTTGGCAGATGCAGCAGGGACTGAACTAGAGTCTCCACAGCTAGATGCACAAGCTGAAGGAACCCAGGCTCCTTAGTTACCCATCCATGAACTGGAAACAGACTGGGGGGTGTAGACATACGCAGTACCCACCTTCTCTGAGCTGCACTGACCCATCCCAAATCAGCCTCCATTGAAGCTTGCTTGAACAATCTGGGAGGCAACTCAGTGTTTGCTAAACAGCGAGGGACACCACCAAGCAGGGAGAGAATCACAGATTCATTTTAACAGGCAGTTAACAGAATACCTGATGTTGGTTAGGTTGGGTTTTAAACACAATCCCTTTAAGCCAGATTGGCTCAAAAGTTTTCCACTAAGAGGTCCTCTCAGAATCTTGCATTGCCCCCCAAAACTGTCATCCTTCATGTTTTCATTAAGCTGTAACCAAAACGGTTAATATTTTATTTTGGGAGTATCAACAAAGCTTCCCCTTTTTTTCTAATGCAGAAAGGTAAATAACTTCAGGGTTTATTTTGGAACCAAATTCTCTGCTGCCAGCCAGAGCTAACGTCAGGGATGACCTTGTCAACACCTTTCTGTGGGACTGCAGTGGCAGAGACTCCCATGGCCAATCCTGTGTCTGGAGTGAAAAAAAATGGTGGATTCTATCACACTTCAGTGTAGGGCTGATGTACCATGAACCTGTTCTCTTCTAGGTGGTTAAAGGAGAAGCTGGCGCTCATGAGAGCCTAATAGTTTCTCTCAAACATATCACCCACCTTGGCCACGTCCAGATGAGCACAGCCTTGCGGTATGTGGCACCACAGGCATGTCTGTGGTGCCACATACCACACGTTCAGTTCTCCACGCTGCAAGAGAGCAGCGCAGAGGGGTTTTTTGACCCCTGGATATCCAGCACGCATGGCACGGGCATTCCCCAGGAAGAACTAGCAGCAGCACAAGGTGCACCACTGCTAGTTGTCCCCAGGGAACCAAATGTCCATGCACGTCTGGATGCAACCCCTGTGTGGTGCACAAGCTGCAGTAGCAAGACGCAATCATTGCTCCCATTCCACACCGAGCCACAGGACCACTGCCTCCCTCTGCCCAAGCTAGTCCTCCACTCCTCCCTCCCTCAGACAGCAACACATATATTTTAATTCTCAACACAGATGAAGACTGAGTTCAGACACCTTTCCAACTCATGCTGCTTGCTGCTCCACTCCCACCTGTATTTAATTCATGTGAGAGGCAAAGATTTCTTAGGGTGATCTTTTATTATACATGTTCCCCATCACCACCAAGATGCACCTACATTAATAACATCCTTCAGTAAATAACTCCCAGTCTAAAGTCCCTTGCAAGCAGCTCCAAGGTTTCCTGTATACTTTATTCAGCCCCTTAATTAGGAGTGTTGCTACTGGCCCCTAGGCAATTGCTTACAGCAGATGCACACAGCCACACTCAGCTTATACCTAAATAGTACATGACGGCATCACAGTTTTACTGACTTATGCTGAGGCTGTCCTGCATTGCCCAGCTGTGACACAGGAACATCTCTCGTGCCAACAATTTCACATGAGAATGCTGTTTAAAAACTTTCTAGAATGTCTAAAAAGAATATCTTGGCCTTTTTTTGTCCTACTCCCTTAGTAAGAGGAATCCACCTGTGATGCCAAATGGAAAAATACATATATGTTAGTACCAATAAACAGAAGTTCACCCTGTTTTTCCATGCAAGATTACAATTTCCCAAGCCCAGAAACAAGTGAACAGTCCAGGTGATCCTGCACCTCAGTTCCTCGACACCTGGGTAAAATTCCCATTTCCAGTCTTTCTAGCTTACAAAGTTTTAGCCCTTAAATATTCCTCCTAGGTCAGCATGTTCATGAGTGGGGATAGAAATCAGACAGAAGGAAGCATCTTTTATAGCAGGTTCCTATTTCCCTTAAATTGAGATTATTAATATTTGCATAATGGAAGCACCTAGAAAAATGTCACCTCTTAGCAAAACTAGCCAACTGCGGCCTCGGTTTCTCCACGATCCACTGGCTGGCGAATTGGCTCTGTGGTTGGACCCAGAGGGTGGTGGTTGACAGAAGTCAATCATCGTGGTGCCCTGTGACCAATGGGGTCCCACAAGGCTCTGTCCTTGGACCCATATTGTTCAACAACTTCATTAATGATGTGGACATTGGTGTCAGAAGCGGACTGGCCAAGTTTGCCGACGACACCAAACTTTGGGGTAAAGCATCCACACCTGAGGGCAGAAGGGCGATCCAGGCTGACCTGGACAAGCTCAAGAAATGGGCAGACGAGAACCTGATGGTGTTTAACACTGAAAAATGCAAGGTGCTCCACCTTGGGAGGAAAAACCCACAGCATGTATATAGGCTTGGCAGTGCACTTCGGATGAAAGGGACTTAGGGGTTATGATTGACCACAAGATGAACATGAGCCTTCAATGTGATGCTGCAGCTAATAAAGCGAGCAAAATCCTGGCTGGCATCCATAGATGCTTCTCAAGCAAATCCGAGGACGTCATTCTCCCATTGTACTCCCCCTTAGTGAGGCCGCAGCTGGAGTACTGCGTCCAGTTTTGGGCTCCACAATTCAAAAAGGATGTGGAGAAGCTTGAGAGAGTCCAGAGGAGAGCCACGCGCATGATTAGAGGTCAGGGAAGCAGACCTTATGATGAGAAGCTGAGAGCTATGGGACTCTTCAGCCTGGAAAAGCGCAGGCTCAGGGGCGATCTGGTGGCCACCTATAAGTTTATCAGCTGTGCTCATTGGGATCCTGGGGAACGCCTGTTCACCAGAGCGCCCCAAGGGATGACAAGATCGAATGGTCACAAACTCCTCTGTGACTGTTTCAGGCTGGATATAAGGAAGAACTTCTTTACTGTCCGAGCCCCCAAGGTCTGGAATAGACTGCTGCTGGAGGTGGTTCAAGCACCTACTTTGAAAGCCTTCAAGAGACATTTGGATGTCGATCTTGCCGGGATCCTCTGACCCCAGCTGACTTCCTGCCCCTGCGGCAGGGGGATGGACTCAATCTTCCAAGGCCCCTTCCAGCCCTAACGTCTATGAATCTAGAAGGCACCACTGAGTTATGAGCCCCCACTCTACTGGCTACTAGACAAAACATATTCAGAGATACTCCTGGCTCCAGAGACAGGAGCTGCTCTGGTTGGGATGCTGGAAGTTGATAGACCAATGGGTAGAGTAGAGACAGGTCAGAGGGCACCATGAATTTAATCTGTGCCATGGATTATCCCCTTTGTGGGGTGCGTCTATGAGCACTGATGCACTAAATCTGAAGGGGTACAAAGTTCTCATCTCTTGTTCCCTGCTACATCTTTGACTCAAGTTTAATATTTTGGAGTGGTGCTGGTGTTCTGCTGGTGTTTGTGGGGAAACTGCCCACAAAAAATAGCCCATCCTCCTTCAGCATCTTGTTGGCTTCAGGGATGCAGAGGAGAGCTATTTCCTGCACCTGACGCAGACCTGGAAACAGCAGCACACGCTGACTGGCTGAGGACACCAGCTGCTCCTCCTCACACCCACCTCTTAAGCACTGGAGGAGCTAACAGGATGCTGCTCTGTCCTGGAGGAGTTGAGGAGAAGCTGGGCTCTGATTATGAGCCATCTTGAAGCGAGGGCAGCACGGAGGGGGGCACACATTCCTCAAACAGTTAAAAAAAAAAAAAGAGAGAATAATATTTTATTATAGATAAAAGTTGGCATTTAAACCCTACGCATTTCTACACAGCACAATGAAGCCCCCTGTGGGAACACAGGAACTAGAGGATATCATAGGACTTAGTCGCACACACTGGGAGCAAGTGACAGATATCTGGTATCAAAGACCTGAACCTGCTCTCAGAGGCTGTTTTCCTCCCTCCTCTGCTCATGGTCCAGTTCCTTCTTCCTGTGCTCCATCCCCCATAGTCAGTGCCCATGGTCCAACAGCTCTGTGGAGCCAGTCGCAGTCAATGGCACTGTGCAATAGTCTCCATGTTTAGGAAGCGGACGTGCATCTTGGTCTCTATGTCAATCCCCTGCCACATCTGGAATTGGAATAGGCAGGGTTAGGCAGAGGGAAGAGGCTGGGTTTTGCTCCCGACAGCATGTCATTGCAGCAGACTTTGCCTGGGTTCCTATGGAGTCAAGAGAGGAGCAGGGCATCTGACCCTGAGCTGGCCAGTTTAAGGCCTGCACTGCATCCCACAGGATGGTCTCAGCAGCGGGAAGGACTGAACTTGGTCACCACCAATCTGAGAGAAGCAAATTCAGCATCTCAGTCCAATTCGCTCAGGGACACCATCCCTATCCCAGGAACCACTGTCCTACTGGCATGTTTTGGTGGTGGCCTCTGCTCACATCAAAGGAGACTTGGCAAGCAGACTCCTCTCCTCCTCTTAGGAGGAGACCTCGCAGAATAGCACTGAGCACTGGATACCACATGGGAGACCAGCCCAGTTGCTTCAGTTTTAGATGAGAGGAGTTGGGTGACAACAGACAACTGGACACCACAGCCTTTGCAATGGCCCTCTGAAGGTACTATATGAAAACTGGCATCTTGAAAGATTAGCAGGTGTAGCTGTGAGAGGCTCATAGGATCTTTACACTGTGGAATAACCAGAGGGTTTTAGTGATTCAGCCCTGTTCTCCCCACCAACCCAACAGGGCTGCCAATCTGACAGTAGAGCAACCCAACTATCATTGCTAACCTTAAGGAAGTCTTCAAAAGTGATTCCCTCATATACCTGGTCTGGCTCCTGGAGTTTGGGGAGAGAAAACATGTTAGGAAATTAAATCTGCTAAAAGTTTGTTACCAACACTGAAACACCAGGCAGGGACAGCGTTGCCTGAGCTGGGGCTGGGAATCAGAAGGCCTCACTCAGCCACTGAGTTAAGCTGGTCACATCAGGCACTTGTACACGCGATGATTTGACCATGTACATGTGACAAAGTGCAAGGAAAAATTGCCATTTGTTTAGCATAATGGCATCACCATGTACATGTGCATGCTTTTTTGTGTCAAAATTTATTTGAGCATGGCAACTTAGACCACCTCCAATGCATGTTAATCATGGCCTATCATTAATCCTCTCTTTGTGTCTCTCTTCCCACCAGCAAAATGGGGCGCTTTTTCTCAGCTACTTCTCAGTGTTTGAGTGCAAGGTATCATTATTGGCTAAAACTGGGGA